CTCGCTGCACTGGGGCACACACTGCATCCCATCCCTCCCCACAGCCCTCATCTGCCTCCTGCAGCACCAGAGACCAGTCCAGGATGTGGCCCCAGGGATGCAGCAACATCCCGAAGCTTCCCAGGGGCTGCTGGCCCTGCAGTACCCAACAGGATGCTCCGATCCCCACACCCCAGCCTTATCCTCGTGGTGCCAGGGCACAGCCACCCCATCTGAGCTTCCATCCCCTCTCTCCCCGCAGTGATGAACGGGAGCAGCCACTCGCCGACCGCCATCAATGGGGCCCCGTCCACCCCCAACGGATTCAGCAACGGGCCGGCCACCTCCTCCACCGCCTCCCTCTCCACCCACCAGCTCCCACCGGCCTGCGGCGCCCGCCAGCTCTCCAAGCTCAAGCGCTTCCTCACCACGCTGCAGCAGTTCGGCAACGACATCTCCCCCGAGATTGGGGAGCGGGTGCGCACCCTCGTCCTGGGGCTCGTGGTACGTCTGCTTGGGCACGGGGTTGGCCCGGGGGCTGATGCCCCATCCGGGGAGCCTGTGTTTTCCTTTTGGGATGGAAATGCTGCTAAAGGGGAATAAAAGAGGGTCCTGTTGGTGCTGGATTGACCTAAATCCTTGAAAAATGAGGGCTGTTTTTCTGGCATCCCCTGGGATCTGCACAGCACAGTGCAGGCTTTGCCAGCAAAGCCTCCAGCATGGTTTTCCCTGGAGTATGGTTTTCCCTCAAGCCTGGCAGACAGCAGAGGAGCAGAAATGGGGGAAAAACATCAAAGCATCCTCCCCGGGTTGCGGGGGGAAGGCAGGGGGCCATGGACACTGAGCCTGGGCTGTTCCCGCAGAACTCCACGCTCACCATCGAGGAGTTTCACGCCAAGCTCCAGGAAGCCACCAACTTCCCGCTGCGACCCTTCGTCATCCCTTTCCTCAAGGTGAGAATGCCGCGGGAATGTCGGGGTTGGAGTCGGCATTGTCGGCAAAGTGGGGCTCGGCGGGTGGCTTTGGGGTCAGGGCTGGCAGCTGCCTGTGGGGCTGCCCGTGTCCCCCCGGGCACGTGCGTCCCCCCGGCGTCCCCAGCTCCTTGCACGTGTGGAGTCACACGAGGCCGGGGCTGTTTGCAATAAAGCGAGGGGTTCGGCCCAGCTGGAAACCATTTGCAATTCATTAAAA